AGGCCGAGGCAGGACATTTGCTTGAGATCAGGAATTCAAGACTAGCCTGAGCAAAAGCAAGATCCCATCTCTACTAAAAATGGAAAAATTAGCTGGGTGTGGTGGCGCATGCCTGTAGTTCCAGCTACTTGGGAGGCTGAGGTAGGAGGATTGCTTGAGCCCAGGAGTTTGAGGTTGCAGTGAGCTATGATGAGGCCACTGCACTGTAGCATGGGTGACAGAGTGAGACCCTGTCTCAAAACAAACAAACAAACCAAAAAACCCAGAAGCAAACAAACAAATAAAATTCCATTTACTAAATCCAAAGGATTTTAAAAAGGAACTGTGATGTTTCATATAATAAATAAAGGAGAAAATGCAGTTTATAATTCAGATATTAATGAAAAGTGTATAGAAAGAAAAGATATTTTTGAGATTTCAGAGTCTAAACAGTAGAGTAAAAATAAAAATGAAAAGTCATGAAATTAAGTGTAGGCATCACTGGAATTGCTCAGCTAGGCAAAGAAGTCATTTAAGTGAAGAAATTAATCTGTCTATATCTAACATGAATAAAGGCAACCCGTATCAGATAGCATAGAAATAAATTAACTTATTAATTAGTCTTCAATCTAAGCTTCTATCATCAAAGCTAATTATTATGTATTGTGCTTTTCAGATTTCGTTTCTTAGCAGAAGAACCCTCTATTTTTCCAACTGATCTTATAAAACAGATAAATGTAGAGCTGCTCTTTTTGAAGCAAGAACTTCAAAATGAGGCAGATGGGTGGGGAACCTGTGGCCTCAAGGCAACATGTGGCCCTTCAGATCCCCAAGTGCACCCCTTGACTGAATTCAAATGTCACAGAACAAATCCCTTTATTAAAAGGAATTGTTCTGTAAACTTTGGATGCAGTCAAAAGACCAGACTCAAGGATCCAGAAGGTCACATGTGGCCCCAAGGCTGCAGGTTCCCCACCCCTCTAAGGAAATAGTTTTGAATATCATAAGTTTAAATAAGGTGTTCTATTAGTCTAAGTAAGGTGTTATTAAAGTGGTCATGAGTAAAACTGATTATGAGAAAACAAAAATATGTCTTAATTTCTAAAGCAGGGTCCTTGATCCATTCTGGTACCACTAATCAAAACAAAGTATCTCCTTAAACAATTGGTGACTATCCTCCACAACAGAGGTATAAACTAGATTCCCATGTAAATTGGCTCTATTATTTTCTGCTTCAGACCTTGTCTGTGGGGTCCTAAAACTGCCTAAGACTTTCATACAATTAAATTCTGAGTTGGAACTATCACCTTTCCTGTGGAAGGAAGGGAAGTTTCTATTTGTAAAGAAACAGAGAAAAAAAAATCCATAACTTACCCAGAGCACGAGGACATTCATAAGATGGTCTATCTGTGTTCGTTTAAAGTTATACTTCCCACTGTTCTGCATTAATTTGGTGTCTGGCCCTAAGTAAATCAGGAAGACATCAGATCTTAGAATCACTAAATATACTCAGAGGCTTGGAACTGACTGGAATTTACCTGTACAATCACCTAATCTAACCTCTTAATCCAAGGGATAAAGCCCTGGAGAAAGGCTCACAGTTGGTGCCAATAATTCGAAGAATGAAAAATCTGTTTCTAAGGATAGTCCTAACCACTTCTGCAAAGTGCGTCTGTGCAGACCCCTCTCTTTGTAGCACCTCGGACAGTCTTGACTTTCACAGATGAGTTAAGTCGGAATAACAGTCACAAGCCTTTCTCTCATCACTATCTGGTTTATTTGGCTTAGAGAAGGAATTTTCTGAGGTCTCTGCTTTCTTTTGGGGGACCCCACTGCTGGACCAGGCTACATTTTAAGTTTCTAACTGGAAAGGGAAGAAAGGAAAAGGCAATGGCAGCGATTTCTTCTGAGGTGAAAGCTGGGGAGCTGAGACTCCTCTGGGGCAAAGGGACAAAGACTCTGTTTTTCATGACAGGACAGACAGTAAGTAGAAGTAAGGAGCTCTTAATGGCTACTGGGACGTGAGCTGGAAATTATTAACCAGAGATATGGCTGCAGAAAAAGCATAAGAGGTTTAAAAGAAACTGTAAGCAACAATTTCTCTTGTCTTTTTACCATCTAACTGTTATTCTTACATGTGCTCTAATGAAGGAACTTCATCAGTGTTTACACGTGGGGGAGCTGGAACATCCCTGATATGTGGGCAAATACTGGGAATGCACAGCATATGCTATGCCGTTCTTTCTTCTTACGCATTCCTAGAAGGGCTTGAAGTCAAGAGAAGTTTGGCTCAGAGCCTGGGAGCTACAGGGACCATATCTTCCAAGGGTCCTTAGAGAGACTGACCTTACCCCAGGTTTCAAGAAGAAGGTGGAAATCATGGCAGAACTTTGGCACCATGTAGCGAGAATAGCAACTCAGTTCTGCACTGAATACCTCAAGGCTCTTAGGTGGCATCAATTCTCTGCTTAGAGCTTCCCAAAGCTACTCACTAGTAACCAATCAAGAGTCAGAGGGAAAACTTAACTAAATTCATGCTGGTTGGCAACATCACTGCTATTGCTTTAGGAAAAAAACCTTTGGCTGGAAAATAAGCTTTTTATGAGTGACATAAAATCTTTTGTGTTTGTAACCCTAGAAGCTGCCACTGTAGATCAAGAACCAATGAAGGAATTTCCACCAGGGCCTCCCTGGACTCTTATATTCCTCCCTAGGGCTTGGGTTCCATTGTTTTCCATAGAAGTCTAGGAGTAGATTCTCTAGAAGGGGAGCTCTGGGAATCTGAGTTGAGTAATAGTAGTCACTGTGGTATTTCTTTCTCGATACTTCCTACTATGGTTGTTGTCATCAATGCCCACTGTCACTGAGGGCATAGGGTAACATAGTGGCTTCCTCCATGTTTCTGACCCACATCATAACCTCAAAAAACCCCTCACTAAATATAATGGATTGTGGTTCTAAATGTCATCTCAAAAGGGTCCACTGCTAATGATCCATGTGTGACTTTTCTCTGGCATGAACTTTTCATATTTTATATTTTTATCTATAATGATAGATAAAAACACTGTATTAACTCTCTCCTCCTGGGAGTAATCCACATGTATAATCCTCCTTTCACATGCTAATTCTACTATACTTCCTCAGTGTATATATCCTCTCCTATGTCCAGATATGGTTGGAGAGACTCATGAATGCCCTGTGGTCTTGGAACACAAAACCTTCCTCTAACAGAGGCAGAGCTAATTGTTGGAAGCTCATTGCTTGGAAAAAGGAAGTCACTATTTTTTCAAAAAAATAAGTTTTTTCTTAAATCTCCCATACATCTATCTATCCATCCATCCACTTTCCTATCTATCTATCTCAAAGCTATAGGGCTTGGATATATCTGAGTGTCAAATGTACACCCTGAAAACTAAGTACCCACAACTTGACCGTGAATGGAATACAGCAGGCTGGGGGTCTGGGTGTGGCTCCAGGGAAACATACCAGTATAAATCACTAAGCCATAGCACCAGTCTGTATTCCTGATGATGCAGCCTCGGAGTAGCAGCTTGTCATGGTTCAGGAGGTAGTTTTTCCCCTTAAAGGTCAGTATTCCTGCGAATTTGTCCAGTTTGTTATTGGGAAGCTCACACTTCACTACTCCTGCAGAAAAACGAAGGAGTAAGAGTCCTGGCTCTGTAATCTTAGGCTTTTCCTAACAGGATGGAAGGAGGCTTAACAGAAAAGAGGAAAGAAAGAAAATGCCTCTTTTGAAATACATACACATCTCTTTCCTATCCTCTGCTGCTGCCCATGTTTCTGGGCACCAAAGAAGAATAATTCTGTATGTGACATGGGTCATCCAGATAGAGAAAAACCCACATGATAACTTATCATGATCAGTTACTACCAGATCATATGAGCTCCAAAACTGAAGAAACTAAGAAACTACTTAAAGCAGGCCTAGTATTTTTTTCAAAATGGAAATAATTTGGCTTTTTCCTGATTAGGAAAGCAAATATATCCTTTGTAAATATTTATGGAATATTAAAAGATAAAGGGGAAAGTGAAACTCACCCATTGTCTTGAGAAAAGTGCTATAAACCTTTTGAAGTCTTTTCTATATATGTACTCATAAACATACATATGTTTCCAAAGACAGGTTTATTTTATACATAGCATGCAGTATTTTATAATTTATACTTTTCCTTTAATTATACGTTGAGTATTTTTTCCATGTCAATAAATATCAACTTGCATATTATTTGCAATAAGTTGTATAGAAATCACTGGATGGATATACCACACTTTATTTAACCAGTTCTCTATTGATGAAAAATTGGGTGGGTAAACTTATTTCCTAACTCACCATCAAAGGCAGACAGCAGCTCCAAGTTATCGTCCATGTCACTGGTAACTGAGATGGCCTGTTTCACTTTCAGGTTGGTTTCGCTAGAGTAAAGGACATAGGGTTACCAGAGTACAGGACATGTACACGACGGCAGCAGAAGTCTAGTTTCTCTTGCTTCTTTGTGGGGTTTTAGAAAATAGATGTTGCCAGTAGAGCTTGGGCTATAGGTTTGAGCCATAAGAGTCACTGCCAGTGTTCCCCTTTTTCATGGGCAGTAGCGATAGCTCTGAAGAAAGCTGAGTGTTAGCCCACCCACTCTCCCCTCTTTCCTCTCATTCTCTGCAATACACCGCCACTACTTAATTAACCCATGAGATCCAGCTGGTCAGGTGCTCTACAGAAGGTGAAGCGCTATCACAAGACAACATGGAGGTGACACCTGCACCCTTCAAGAATAAGGAGCAGGTCCTGGTAAGAATCTGCACACACCTCCAAGGAAATATACTTCTCACCTCATGAATATTTATGGTGCCCGTGAAGGGATCTCAATTAACTATTTGCTGATATAGAAATGCCCAGACACAGAAGCAAAAATGGAAGCCACATTTTAAAAAGTTGTGGCACCAAGAAGAATAATTGTAAGAATGCAAATCAATATAAAAAACCAGAGGACAAGCTTTTTGCCGATGGCCCCATACTCCTAAGACCTTAGCTTTTGCATGCCAATCAATTTCTACCCTAAATCCTTTACAGAACATGATATTTTATTAGTAAATAGTTAGTTGCATATTCAAATTCTTGCCCTGAAAACTTTGAAAGTCTATTCTGCAATTTTACACTGCCACTCAGCATTATACAATATAGGCAGGGTATCTCTATTCTATAGATGGAGACTATGGAGTTCGTTTGCCCAGATTCTGTGGCCAGTGGATGCTCAATTATTGCTGTCAAGAGCTCAGCCTTGACTAGACAATCCCAAGGTTCTGGCCTTTTGTCTTCTCTCCTCTGGATACTTCTAAGCTCTCTAGCTCATACACTACCACTTCTATCTGAGAGTAAAATCCATTCCTGCATCATGCTCTCCCTCAGTGAGAGACCACTCTGAGCTGGCTAAATTATCTTAATGGACTATCAGGAGGGAACACTTACCCATCCAGGTCTGCTGTCTCTATGTACGTCAGACTGTATGGCTCACTGCTAGAGAGTAATAGGATATCTGCCTGTGGTCAGAAAAGTCAGAGAAAATAAGGAAAGCAGGAAGGCAGGCTGTAAATGTTACAGTGTGACAAGAGCAGTTACCTCAGGAACAGATGCTCACCCTAAGAATTTTACAGACATTGGTTTACTTCCTTTGTCTAGGATACATCACTGCTACCATACACCCTCTCCCAAAGCAACTCACACTTTACCTGTAGCTATGATGAGAGGTAGACAAGAACAAGCTTCTTACTGTAACAGCTATTGATCTCTGGTACAAAGTGAAGCAGATGAAGGTCACCAAAAGCAGGGGTAGCAGAAGTGCTGCAAGGGTCCCTGGCATCCACCCAAGCCAAAAAAGAAAAAGTCACAGCCAAAAGAGGTACTCACTGTGACTGGCTGATTATTTTCTAGTTTTATTATATCTCCCACTTGGACATTCATCCACTTGTCCTTCTTCATTCTGTAAGAAAACGACCTTTGAATGTTTGCTCTGAGAATTTCCCCAAAGCTCTGTCTTGACAATGGAGAACTTCTCTCTTTCACCCCCACAGGGCTGAGCTGAATGAAGACAAGGCTCAGGAAGGCCAAACTGATTTGTGATGCATCCTTGCTGCAATCAAGAATGGGGCCCATTCTCTTGACTTCGCTATACAGGTTTTCTAAAACCCTATAAAACTATATGTAGACATACATACACATAATTTTTTTAAGTAAAATAGTTCAAATAGTAAAGAAGTGTCTAAAGAGAGAAAAATTCTAAGTCTCCTCCGTCCCCAGCCTTTAGTTTTGCACCATAAAGGTAGCCACTGTTAGTAATTTTTTTTTTGTATTTCTTTCTAGGAAATAATCCATATAATCACAAACAACATAAACATTTAAAAGTTATACACGAGATCCATAATTTTCTGTACTTTGCATTTTTCATTTAATAATATATTATGGAGAGTACTTATAAAAGATGTGGTTCATCCTTTTTGATAGCTAAAATGCATTCTATCATATGGCTGAACCAATTTTATTTATTTATGTCACAATTAGATTACCTTTGATCCCTCAAATCCCCACTTCCCAAAAAGGCAGCCCGGCAGTAAAAAGGCAACCTGGCAATATGAGCATATTCTACAATACTGGCTCTCGTCCCTCCTCTTTTTTGTACTTCAACTTCCCAACTGCATAGGGTCCATAAATCTTTTCTCTCTGAGTAAGGACTAAGGAGGATGTGCATATTGCCACAAGCGTTTTGAAAACATGAGCTACCCGCTTCCAGCAATTCTATTCTGCCAAGCACCTCAAGAGCTGGGAAAGAGAGGACATGTCTAGAAGCCACCGTTCCTTTTGCTCTTGAATACAGCACTGTTATCCTTAGGGCATGACACACATCACCACTTTGCCAGATACACAAAGGCATGGGTATTCTTAGAGCACCTTTCCTGAGAAGACAGCTGCTTTGGGAAGGGTCAATCTCTACAATCCAAAAAAAAAAAAAAATCCTTTTTATATAAATTCACTCTTTCTTTTAAAAGAAATAGTACTTTCTTAGTACAAGTAGCTACCAGCCCTGGAGAAACACATCTGAATATTTATTTTACTTTCTTTGTCTTGATTTGACATTCACTTTTGCTAGTTCTCTGGCATTCTATGATCTTCACCAGTGAAACATGAAGAGATAGAAGGGCTATAACATTCTGGCTTCTTTGGAGATTTAAAAATTTATATTTTATTATATAGGGAGCTGCCCAACTATTACCAATTTGTTCCTGGACATTATAACAACCATGTGTCCCAGATTTGGAAGAGGGGGAGACATTCCCTACTAATTTAAAATATCCAATCCTGTTGTGCCATAAGTACATTTTTAATTTCCAAGCATTGCATCCTAACTTTTGGTTTAGAAAATATGATTAGAGAGCTAGAGAAGGTAATGCTTTGACTTCAGGGGAGACCACCCACATTATATTCTCTGCTTTATGTGAATGGTACCTCCTGGACTTCTGTAGCATACTAGTATTTTTCATACTATAAATACTTAGAAATGCGAGATAAAATAAAGCCAATCCAACATTCTTTCAAAAGCAAGCCTGTATTTGCCATAAAGTAAGGAGCCAGGAGAAAAGAAGGGTATGAAATCCATAACAGTAAGCATGTTCTGATGCTGTTCTTGCCCTAAGTGGACGAGGGGATTGCTGGTTTTAATAATCTAGTTGCTGGGCTGGCTTCAGCTCAGCAGTTCCTTTGACAAGTATAATAATCTAGTAATTTGAGTTTTAATTTCTCCCACCAGAGGGACAGGAGATGAAACCTTATGATCTCGAGAGGTAGTGAGTTGAAACTAAGAACTCTTCATAAAGCCAGGACCCTTGAAAGACCACACCATTAGTGAAAAGGTGATCTCAAAAAAAAAAAAAAAAAAAATCAACCCACTGGCAAGAAAGTTTGTCTGTCCTCATCTGGAGCAGGGGTGGGGAACCTGTGGCCTTAAGGACACATGTGGCCTTCTAGGTCCTCAGGTGTGGCCTTTTGACTGAATCCAAATTTTACAGAACAAATCCAAATAAAAGGATTTGTTCGTCTTTATATTTTTTATTTTTTTAATTCACAACAGTATTCATTAGATGAACTTACTGAAATTATTTTTTAATTTTTTCTTATTTTATTTATACTTTTTTATTTTTTAAAATGAGCGTATTTAAAATACCAAAGAATAAAATAAGTTTCAGTGAAATGATCCTCCCAGATTGACTGTACAATTAGAACATTAGTAAGCTATGAGTGCTAAATTGATGGCTGCTATGCTCATGATTTAGTTCTAACTTCCCCTGCCTGACTGGTGCCACTACTCCACGAGACTTGGCAAGAGTTCATGGGGGTCAAGTATGCCAGTCTGTTATTAGCTTTTGACAACAGTGCACTGTGTTTCTGTTTGAAGTGGAATTTGTGAATAGTTGCACAGCTTGACAGTATTTTTTAATTCTGTCTGCTTAACAGCCCATCATGTCAAAGAAGACCAAGAGAACACAGAAGGAAGAAAACAGATTTTTTAATGAGGATTGGGAATTGCAATATTATCTTGTTTCTGCTAAAGATAAGATGATTTGCTTGCTTTGTGATACTGCAATACCAACATTAAAGAAATTCAATGCTCATCAGCATTATAACACTCATAAGGACCACAAATATTTTAAATTAGAGGGCGAGGCACAAAAGGTTGTATTGCAGAAATTAAAAGGTGAAAAGCAAAACCAAAGACAATTCTTTCAAGCCACAGTAAGACCTGGAAATAATGCTACTGAAGCAACTTATAAAGTAGCTTATATACTCAGGAAAAAAAGGAAGCCATTCAGTGATGTAGAAATTGGGAAAGAATGCATTGTCAAAGATGTAGGATGCTTAGACCTCGATAACGTTTCAAAGTACAAACAACTTCCTCTTTCAAGGAGAACCATAACTGATTGGCAGCATGAATTAGCCTTCAACTTAACAGAACAACTCATGCAATACTTCAAAAGGAAAATATACATTATTCAATCCCTTTGGACAAATCAACTGATACTACTGACTTGGCACAGTTTTATACTTCATTGGGGTCATGGCAGAAGCTTTTCTTTGCTACCAAGAGTTACTTGCTTTGGGCACTCTTACAAACAGAACACAGGGAATAGATATCTTTAACAACTTTCAAGATAAATGCTGTGAAGTTGGACTGAATTTGGTAAATTTAGTGAATGTACAGATGGTGCACCTTCCATGACAGGAAAACATGAAGGGTTTATTGCACAGATTAAAAAAAGTATTAACAGATCCAGATGCTCTCATTTCTTTTGATTGTATTTGCATCAGCAAAATCCCTGTGCTAAACCTACTATTTTAAGTGACACTTTGCAACAAGTTATAAGTATTGTTAACTATATTCATGCAGATGCAACACAGCATCCCCAGTTTTGTAACATGCCAAAGTTAAATGATGAGGTATTCAGTGTGGATTTGCTGTATCATTCTAAAGTGCATTGGCTATCTCAGGGACAGGTGTTATCTCTGAGAACAGATAGTTAAATTTTAAGAAGAACAGAATCAGCAATGTGAATTACTGAAAGAAGATTTCTATAGGAATGCAGCATTTCTGTGTGATATGTCAAATAGAAACTTGAATGTTTTTTTGGAAGGTAAAACTGTCTGTATATGATATGTGCCAAAAAGTCCAAGCATTTCAAAAAAAGCTCTCTTTGTTTTCAAAACACTTCTTCAAAAGGAAATTTTGGATGAACATTTTCCCCAGTTAGCAAAGGTTGATGATGAGCAGGATGATACAGGCGAATCATTTGAAGAATATGCAGCTGTTATAGACCTATTAATTGGAGAATACAATGAAAGGTTCACTGACTTTGAGAATCATGACATCACACAAAAATTAGCATTTTTAGCCTCACTTAGTTGATAGGCACCTAAAGAACTATAGATGGAATGGATTGAGCTCTCAGTAGATGACATTTTAAAGACATTGTTTGATAGTAAGAAAGATCCAATGGAAATATGGAAAAATGCAGTAGAATACCCATGCCTTAGGCGACATGTCCGAAAAATGTTTTCTTGCTTTTCAGCCACTTATTGCTGTGAATCTACATTCTCCTTCCTAACTCAAATCAAGATGCCCTTAAGGTCACAAATGACTGATACCCATCTAGAGGATCAACAGAAACTGCCAACCTCCATGCTGCAACCAAATATTCAAATGCTTTCCAACCAAAAGCAAACACAACAAAGTCATTAAAAGATTAGTTAATTTTAAAATTAACAAATAGTTTTAATTTTTCAAATTATTTAAGTACATAGAAGTTATATTTTTACAAAATAATGTACATTTTTAAGTATATCTAATTGAAGTTTCTTGAATGCAGCCTTTTTTGATTACAGCTAAATCAAGACGGCTTTCCGATATGAAAACGTTCCCCACCCCTGGTCTGGAGGGCTGGGGTCAGTGAGTGGAGGACTCTCCCCTAAGAATTTGTAACCTCCTGCGGCATGGGGCTCAAATTTATGCATCCTCCAAATTAGGTCTCAGTAGGTGATACCCTTGAATCCCATGGTATAAGCAAACACAAACCCTTCTACAACCTCACCTCAGGCCACTTAGAATTCCCAAAAGGAAAGTTCCTCTAAAGGTGTGCTTGTAAACAAAATGATTGAGAAATGAAAAGCAACAAAAATCATAACTTGCAAAACAGATAAACTTTTTATATAGCAGTTTTGCTCAAACCTATGTGTTCTAGAAAAAGAAAGATGTTTTCTGGAATGTAAACTGTTTCAACAACCAATCTCACCTCTGCACATTAAAGTGATAAGACACTTGCTTACAAAGTCTAACCAGAGCCTTGCTTGTTAACTCCCACTCTAAAATCACTCTATGACAAATTTTTGGGAGTTCATTTGACTAAATTCATTTGTCAGCAACTCCCTAGCTTTGCCAGTTGCTAATACACTCAGTTTTGTCCTTTCTTTTCTTTTTATGTCTATTTCCATTCTTTTTTCCTATTTTAATTTTCTTTTTAAGCACAAGTGACTTTTTTGGTGGTATCTTATGGGAGGTTTCAACAGTTTAAACATTTGAGGAAACAATCCACCCTGAGTAAGTATCAGCTGACACAATCAACAACAGGATTAGATGCACAAGCATTTCAGATAATAGAATTATATGATAAAAAACTATAGCTACTGGGTTTTCTGTAAGGCCACCATGACAAAGGCTGGACCTCAATCCTGAACTCCCTCAGGTTTGCACTTTCTTAGAATCATGATTCTGCTCACCCTGGTCACTTTTCCTTTCACACAATCTGTACTTACTGAATTCTTCCCCACCTCTTAAGGCCTAGTATAAACATCACCTCTTCCAGAATATCTTTCTTTATTCCTTTAACCAGCTATGATTGCTCATTTGTTATTAATTCCTATTATATTACCTCTTACGATAGTGTTCAAATTTTGCCTAACATAGGAATATGCCTGCCTACTTCCATTCCTGCCAACACTTTAGATAGCTATGCTCAAACACCTCAGCAATGGGGTCAACACCAATACTCTCCTTATTTTTTATCGTAGATATATTTTTTGAGACGGAGTCTTGCTCTGTCACCCTGGGTAGAGTGCAGGGCATCATCAGAGCTCACTGCAACCTCAAATTCATGGGCTCAAACGATCCTCCTGCCTCAGTCTCCCAAATAGCTGGGACTACAGGCACCCACCACCACACCCGGCTAATTTTTCTGTTTTTTTTTTTTGTAGAGACAGGGTCTTGCTCTTGCTCAGGCTGGTCTCAAACTCCTGAGCTCACGCAATCCTCCTTCCTTGACCTCCCAGAGTGCTAGTATTACTGGCATGAGCCACTGTGCCCAGCCCAATACTTTCTTTAGATTGTTATCAGAAATGGTGACCTACCAAAAAGCCTTGTCAGAATCCATTGGTGTTATAAAGACAGATGTTTCCATGCTGACTACTATGTTAATAATAATCACTTGGGATATATCACGTTATCATATATTAATTGCTTCAATATGTATTTTGCTTTTATTTCCACAGGTATTCTCTAAGGTAGAGAATATTATTTACACTTTATAGAAAAGAAAAATGAGGCCATAGATATCTGAGGTAATATGGCAAGTTCGTTTTAGATCTAGAAACAAATTCTTCTTATATCTTTTCACTGTCCTGAATTACCTTCCCAAAACACCCAGCACATCAAGCTTCAGCAAGGACAACCCTCCTCCAGGACTGGTCCTACCTAAACTGGCTTCCCTAGAAGAACTTACCTGCCATTTACCAGCAGTAGAACAGGACGGTTGTTGACCTGATTGTCATTTTGGTGCCTTTTCTAAAATCACACAAGAAAATGTTCAGGAAGTATATCTATAGCAAACTGCATGTAGAAGGGTAATGTTCTGAAATATTATCCAATGTAGTTCCCCTTCTTTCCCCCTCCCTGAAGCTCTTCTACCATTAACGCTAGACAATGAGGTTGATTATCTCTGGGAAGCTGGGAAAGGAGGTCAGAAAAAGAATCCAAGGAGTAGAAAGAGACAAAATCTTGGTTTTATGTATCAAAAGCCAAAAGCCTGGGGGAATGAGAACAAACAACTTATGGCAAAAGCTGCAGAGGACAGAATACAAACTAATGGGCAGGACTACAGAGTCCCACACACCGTGATAGGTGCAGGGAAAGCTAGGAATTTTTAAGCATGCTCCCACCCCTATTGCCAGCTGTAGTCGACAGCCAGAAGCTACGACAGTGGATGCACTGAGGAAAGAGGCCAACATAAAGACCAATAGAAGGGCAACAAATACAGGGCATGTCCTGATGCCAGGACTCACATGAATCTCCTCTTTCCAGTTGAGATTACTCCCTGGGAAATGGTAGGATTGGGAAGGGGGCAGAGAGAATCCAAAATTTGTCACAATTCAGAATTGTCCAAATATTTCTGAGTTCTAAACCAGAAGTAACTAGGTTACCCTGAATTGGCAAGTTAATTTTTGGTTCTCATTAGAAAGAGTTGGGGTCGGGGGTATGTGTGTGGTTATGAGCTAAAATGAGTTCTGTTATAGAGAAATAAAGTTACATTTTTGCACATCTGAGTTCTGATTGAAATTTAAACCAGGACATGCGCTAATCCTGGGTTTAAAGAGTTACAGAGTTAAAGTACTGGGGAAACATCCATGCTGTAAAACTTTGGTCAAAAAATCTATCCTGGAAAAATGAGAAGGACTCTCTTAGGGAAACTGCAAACAGGTCAACAGGACTGGCTTCACAAATCTCACTAGTAGGCCTGGTACTGGGTCCTCACCCTTACCATCTCTGCCAGACCTGCTGTAAGAAGCAAAGAGGAAGCCCAGAAGCACTCACTGTGACCCAGGAAGGGAGCTGGCCTCTGCTTATGTCATGAGGCTTTTAAAAGCAGAGGGTTCCTAGCTGCTGTGCATACCTAACAGAATTGAGAGCTGGAAAAGGACATGGGGAGAGCTGGAGAGGAGAAAGGGAATTCAGAGAGAGGAGAAGAAAGAGGAAGAACGGGAGAAAGGGAGCAGGGACAGAGGAAAGAAGGGAAAAGGAATATAAAATGGGAGAAAGCGAGCAGAGAAGGAAGCATGAGAGCAAAGCCAGAGAAAGCTAGAGGGTAGTAAAGGAAGAGCGGGCTATTTAAGATGGAAAGAGGCCTGGAAAAGGGGCTAAACGTGGTGGCAGTAGGAAGACAGAGAAAGGCCTTGCATTGCCCCTTCTGGCCATGCATAGACCACCAATCTCGGGCCTACAGGAATTACGTATTCTTCTGCGATGGATAAGGAAACAAGAAAGGGAAATATCTCTTTCCATTCAGTGCTTCCTCTTAGCACTAGGTGCTGGGAAGTCCTTCTTGCCCCATAGCCTGACTAGCTAGTTACAGTGAGGGACTAAAGGCCCAGGAAGCTGCTTCACCAGGTCATCCATGGCATCTTTCACTGCTGTTATGGACAGCACCACCATCAGGGGTACCACAGTTGTGTACCACGCCAAGGAGGAGATCTGGGGGATCAACTGAGAGAAGGAAAGGGAGAGAATATTGTGTCTGAAAACTCAAAGGATAATATATTTCTTCCCAATCCCTCACCTCCACCACCATTTTCACCTCCATAGGTTCATAGCAAACATACTATCCTAGCTGCTTTCCACTGTTGTAGCCTTCATATAACCCCCAAAACATAAGTAAACATTTCTCAAGTGATGCTAAAAGAACAAAAAGGCTACAAGTTGCTCCCTATCTGTCCTGAACTCCACTACCTTCTTCTGGATGGCAACGGATCATTTCTCCCCTGATAATGAACGGTAACGGGGCAGGGGCATAAGAGTGGACGTGGGAAAACCACATGTTCTCCCACACCTTTCAGCACAAGGGGAAGTGAGGCGATCTGTCACTCTTCCCCAGTTTGGGCCTATCCTATTCTGCTTCCTTTCTTCGTGCTGGCACTCTTATACTCTAAATCATTCTCCTTCCTCAGCACTCCTGCATGTTAATTTTCTGTCACAGAGGCTGGGACAAGGAGGAATAGGGTTGTAGTTGTGGTCAGGGTGAAGAATCTATGGTCTGCTGTGGTTGAGCTGACGTGTGACCAGGCAGCCATGATAAGGAGTCCACCTTCCTTAGGATTTGGTGACCTTGTCTCCTTCCTCTTGTAGAGGCTCATTTCACATGGGCTAATCCTGACCACAGATACTCTAAGGGACTGGCCCGAGACTCCAGCCATCCATTTGCCTGTTGTCTAAAGAGAGGAGACATCCTTCTCAGTTTAGGGAAGGGAAAAACTAATTACACAGTCTGACCCCAGAGAGGTTGATAAAACACTCTGTGGAAAAGGCCCAAAAGACAATACCTGTAGGAATAGCAAGATGAGGAAATATGCATTTGCAAGTCTCTGGAACTGTTCAAATAGGTTCCGGGGCAGGAAGTTAATGGCACTATATCTTGAGGTCTTGATGGTATTGTTCTGTGAGAAAAACAAAACAAAACAACACAAAACACCAAAACACACACAATTAGAGGAACCAAAGACAACTCAAAACTGGGTTGACAGGCAGTTGCTCCCACCTCACAGTCTTAACAAAAAAGACCAAGACCACTCAGGAAATGGGAAAAAGCCACCAAAGTTCCCCTGACCTGGGATGGAGAGAGGAAAGAAGTGTCTAATTTCCCCCTTTTCTTTGAGACCTAGAGAGGCCTAGAGGATTGTAAGATGGTAAGGCCACTCCACATAGCAGTTTCTATGGGAGCAGAATGCATCTCTGCCCCTGATAGAGTTCTTTGTTTATTCATGCTATTAATAATAATAATGATAATAATTATCAAATAAACAATAAAAACATATTTATTGAGTACTTACTATATTCAAGGCACTGTTCTAAGTATTTTATATGCAGCAACCCATTTAATCCTCACAACAACTCTGTGAATTGAATACTATACGATCACCATTGAGGATGAAGAAATTGAGGCACTGAATCCAGTGGTCTCTACTGAAGCTTTTCTTAGCCTGGCAAACTCTGTTTGTTGTGCCTTTACTTGTTACTTTCAATGTTGAAGGATGTCAGATGCTAAAAAGCAAAGAACTGTCTTTCAACCCTAGCCCACTGAGGGTTTCTACACTGGTGACTGTCAGCATTGGAGAATCCCTTGGCTCCTAATTGTCCTAGGAGGATCTGAATAGTTTTTGCCTATTATTATCTAAGCTATAATTTTGCTGAGTGGGAACTTGTCTACCTCCTCAATCCTGATCTCAAGATGTTGACAGGACCATCTTACTCTCTACCTTTGGGTCTTAAATCGTTTGTCCCAAGATGTCAGAGTTTGTATCTAACAGCTCAAGAAAAGCAGGAGAATGTAACCAAATAAGTCCCTAAGGACAGGGCTTCTTTCCTATCTCCTCCATCCATAAGGTTAGAACAAAAGAATAAACCCACCTGCAGGCCTGGAGTACAGATACTGCCCAAGCATGAAGAATCTTGCTGGGCCCTTCTTTGGGAGGGCATCAAAATCCTTTTCTTAGAGAATTAGAATTCTCCAAGGAGAATTAGATAGGCTACCCAGCCAGGTCTTGCCCAAGGTCTGTTTCCCGTGGGAAGAGAAGCTGGTCAAATAGCTTACCATGTAGAGTTTGGAGATCCAAGCCAAACCTAAGATTGCCTTGGTGTTTCTCCACGATTTTCCAATTACTTATTAAACATTGCAGCATTTCTTAAGCCTTGCTCTGTTCACAGCCCTATTCTGGGCTATACTAGTGGAGGCTGAAAAAGAATTAGACAGGATCTATCCTGGAGAAGCTCATAGGTCTGTCTTGAATGAAGTGCTAATGAAATAATCTTTAAGGGTCCTTCTTGCCTCGAGAGTATATTATTCTAGCATAGAAATGGTTTTCTTTGATCATGAGATACTCTGAGTTTCTCAGTGTCTAAGTCCTGATGGGTCTGATACTTGGATCTTCTGAGAGATGGCCTTACTGAAGTAGCTGGCCTTCACTGTTGATTTTCCATTTGATTACATAGACATTTAATAAGTATTTCAGGTTTCTACTTACCTGGGTAGCATTTGTTTAGCTAACAAAGACAAAAGCTGTGCTGATTCTGCCTCGAGATAGAAGTACCAGTATTTCTTTACTAACTTGGCAACCAGAGTGTTTTGTTCTACTCTTAAATGTCAAACCAGAAGCAGTATCTCAAGAATGTAGAACATCTCCTTAACTATGAACTTCTTCAGTGTTTAGTTCTTGTAGCAAAGGTGATAAAATTTAAGCATAATAGAGGTGGTTGATTTTGATTTGGTTAGTTATTTATTTCTTTGGGCTGTGTTATAGGACTGAATGCTAAATGGGGTAACAGAAGAAAATAGAAGGCCAAGGATATAATGGGAATCAGCAGTTAAGGGCTGGGAAGAGAGAAAGGAGTCAGAGTGGAAGAAATTAGAGAAATATGAAGAAAATGAGCGATGTACAGGGCCAGGGAAATGAAATGAAATGGTTACTAAATACATAAGAATGAGTCAAATCTGTTTATTTATTTATTAAATACTCAGCATATATTTAATGAATGCCAAGTATGTGCCAAACATTGTGATAGGAACTGTGGATACAGAGATGAATGAGACAGGTACCCTTTTTCCAAGGGGTAATAGTTTCTTGGAAAAAGAAACTAAAATTTTCATAACCATATTTAACTGCCATGACTGCCATGCAAGGTGAACATTATTATACCCATTGTATTATACAAATGAAAGAACTGAAGATCAGAGAATTTAAACAACTTGCCTAAGGTTTCAATGTTAGTAAGGGGCAGAACTGTATTCAAACTCAGGTCTGTCTAATGCCAAAACCTAGTTTTACTGCACACTATTGCTTCTTATGCAGGTGTAGGAGACAGAAAGGGGAAACTTGTTCCCATGGCCACACCTTGAGCATTGTTATTATCCAGAACCACTCTAGCACAGAAATCATAAACTAATATCCCACAGAGACTACAAACATATATGGCTATATATATTTATATATATATAAAATATATGAATGACATAACATATGTCTAGAAGCATTGCTTATAATCATAAAAGATTTAAAACAACCCAAATGTCCATTTTAAAGGAACTGGTTAAATTGACTATGCTAAATTTGTAGAGGGAATACTAGAAAAGACAAGAAGGAAAAAGCTATTATGAAATCATGATTATGAAAACACTTCTAGGATATATTGTTAAGGTTCACAATAGTGTAAAAAAGTGGGAAAATAATATATATTTGTATTTGCTTTATTTCAACAAAGAGGCACTGATAAATATACAAAAAACTAATAAATGTGGTTCCCTATAGGGAGCAGATTCGGGAAGGATGGGGTGTTGGAGCACGACTTTTTAATATATATCTTTTTATGGGTCACTTAGTCATAAATACATAAATAAGTGAAAAATGAATAAGCCAATAGAAAATGGGCAAAGATCATTCATAGGTAGTTTCCAGAAAAAGAAATACAAAAGGCAAATTAACATGAAAAGATTATCATAATCTCACTTAAAATTAAGGAAAGATAGATAACAAACTGTTGCTTTTCATCCAAGAGCCTGGCAAAGATGAAAAAGATTAATAATAACCCAGTTTGGTAGGAATGTGCAGTCACTACTGTAAGCAGAAATATAAATGTATATAATCCCTTTACAGGACAATCTGGCCTCTAATAATTTTTAGTGTGTTTTCCTTTTGGCCCAGCCAATTCACTTCTAGGAAACTTTCGTAAGATATATTCACCTGAATGCAACAAAATATACAAATAATGGTGTTCATTCAGGGCCATTTAACATAGCAAAACACTGGAGACGTTTTAAATGTTCATCAATAGGGACTGATTAAATAAATTAAGGTTTATCAATATAATGGACAACAATGCTGCTATTAAATGAATGAGGCAGATCTACATGTATTGTCATAGATAGGTATCTGAGTGAAAGAAGAAAACTGTGGAACTATGCTTTCATTTGTGCAAGGAAAAGCTGTAATATTTCTTTTCTCAGAGTTATATATAAATCCAAATCTGAGACATGTTCTCTCCTGAGCTTAGGTCACTGGATAAATTTTGGTTTCTGAGCCCTCATTGCACAACTCATTGTACAGAAGCTTGAAAGAAAGTAGAATCTATGTTGTAGGATCCACGTCTACAATGAATTTCCTGGTCTTCTAACCAAGGGGAATATTACAGGAGAATACTTGCCCCCTTCTGAAATAGCCAGAGGCATAATACTCACCGGATATCCAAAAATATCATTGAGTTCTCTGTTGTTGGCTTGAAGATATCTCCCTTGTTATGAAAAAAGAGGAGAGAAATGATGAGAAGGATGCCCCTCTGTAGATCAGCCCAGGATGCTGGCTGCTAGGGAAGACTTCACTAGATCAGATCCCCACACTTTCTTGCTGAAATATCTGTCCAAAATGGGATTTTGTCTCTTTATTCAAAGAATCAAGAAATATAATAAAAATGAAAATCCTCAAGTGTTCAAGCTTTTTGGAGGCAACAGGACTAGTAACTCCTGAGGAGTTCTCCACCATTAAAGCTTCTAGTACTTCTTAGATTATGTTTCCACAGGCAGCAGGATGGCCTATACCAAACTTACTGCCAAACCCAGAATCCCAGCCCCCCTCATAAGTCAATTCCAGCACCTTGCCTTAAGATAGCTAAGGTTCTTCTCTAAGCCAGCTTTTCTTAAACTTGCTTAACTAAATGTAAATCAAAAAATCATTATTGAGTATTTATTGCACAGAAGCCAGTATACTGGATGCTGTGGGGGGATAAAAAGATGAGTAAGACAGAGTCTCTGACTTTGAGGTTCTTTAGTGTAGTAGGAGTGAGCCTGATAACTACAATTCATGACAAAATCATCATATCAGGCCGGGCGCGGTAGCTCACACCTGTAATCCTAGCTCTCTGGGAGGCCGAGGCAGGCGGATTGTTTGAGCTCAGGAGTTCGAAACCAGCCTGAGCAAGAGCGAGACCCC